GAAGAAACCTGCGAAGACAGTAGGGAGGAGCCAGACCTCGAGGGCATGAACATCGGCCGGGAGCAATGCATCGTCCTCCATTCTTACATGAACGATCACACAGAGCTGTCGCGACAACAACATTACATAAAATTAGCATTTAAAAGTTAAAAATTCAGATTCCAACTTTCAGAAAGCAATCACTTTCAAAATTTTGATACGGTTTAATGTCTCACAACCTTTGTCTTAGTAACGGTGTTGAAGTCTGTTTGCGTCCTGATAACCTTATTTAAGACAACGCTGAGCGTGCAGGAAACTTGGACGGTTTTAGCTAAGCTTTGTTTTTAACATTCTAAATTAAATTAATTTTATATAATTGTCTAAAATTTTCAAAGACAACTATATATTTTTTAAATTTATTACATTTTATCAAAATTTTAGTTCACTTAAGGTGCTCATTCATTTTCCTTCTGATACTCATGCAAGGCACATCATAGCTCCATTGTGGGAGCTGAAATGCCGTTAAAGTTTACAAAAAAATATTATTTGGTTTCTTTGATAGTGTAACTTGTAAATGGGTTTCCTCTGATATTCATGCAGTTTGAAATTTGGATTTTCTGGTACCCATGCAACTTGTAATTTGGTTCCCTCTGATACTCATGCAAATTGTAATTTAGTTTCTTCTGGTTTTCAAGTAGTTTGTAATTTGGGCTTGGTTCCTTAAATTGTTTTCATTCATTGAATTTTAAAAATTACTTCATATTTTTTGCTTATGATTTGCACGTTGAATGTTATTTATTCACGAAAAAAAGGTATTAAATTTATCTACAGTAAAAGGTATTTATTTTCACGTAAACTTGTTATTTAATTATATTGCCAGAATTGATATAGGAAATTAAAACGGATAACTAAGGCGGCAGTGAAAAAGTGTAGCAATGATGGTAATAACGTAATTTCCCTCATACTGTATAACAACGCAAACAGAATGTTTTACTCTTGCACCGAAAAGATGCAATTTGGTTGGAGGCTCATTTGTATTTCCCGGCATTTTTCAATCTTGCCAGGGGCTCAATTGACTTCCTTGTTTAGGTGCACACGGAATAGGAGAGAAACAATAAAAAGTTTAGTATAAAAATATGCTAGATAGAATTTTTTTAAAACGTTGATAACTACTTTTTTGAAAAATTAACAAATGTCTTCGTTGTATTACATTGTAATTATTATCTGATTCACTGATGTAGGATTTTTGCCGTACAAATATTACGTAATTATTATTAACCTGTAATTTTGTCATCCAATCGTTTGCAACGCATATTAGAAGTCAATGACGTTTAATTTAGATCGAACGTAAAATGTGTTGCCACCAAGTTATTTGAATAAAGTGGTGTAAATGATAATGAAGCCAGTATTAGAAATTATGGGCAAAAATAGTTTGCAAAATTTTCACAAAATTATATTCACATTTTGACAAACAGGTTTCTAAGTTTAATTTGAAAATTTTGATACATAAGTTGTGTTAAAATTAAAAACAAATACTCACGATTTTCGCAGCGGTGGCCAGTGTAACCGTGATTGCACCTGCATTTATATGGAGATATGCATTGTCCCCCGTTCAAACATGGAGTACTACAAATTGCTTTCCAATCAAAATTTTATATATATATATATATATATATATATAAATATAAATATAAATAAATAAATAATATATATATATATATTAATATAACGGTGTATAAATGGATTGAATCGTTTCTTAAAAACAGAAGACAAAGAATTGTTCAAAGTGAAACTATTTTTGACTGGGCTGAAATTTTTAGTGTTGTTCCTTAGGGCTCTGTTATTGGTTCTATACTCTTCATTCTCTACATCAATGACTTACCAACAAAACTGAAAAATGCAACAAAACTCTTTGCAGATGGTACCAAAATCATAAGAGCGATATCGTCAGATAACAATATAATTGAACTTCAATTTGATTTGAATGAGGCATTTAAATGGACGCATGACTGGCTTCTAAGGTTTAACATTGAAAAATGCACTCTTATGCACTACTGATCAGGTAATAAAAAATGTTCACTGTATATAAATGTAATACTTCTTGCTGAATCTAAATCCGAGAGAGATCTTTTTCAAATAACTTAAAATGGAAAAATCGGGTCATCACAGCATCAAACAAAGCAAACCAAACGCTAGGTCGAAAGAAAAAATCTTTTGGGAAATTTGATTGTAAGCTGCTTCCTAATTTATACCTAACTTTTATTCGTCTACTGTTGGAGTTTGCAGTATCAGTTTGGTCCCCAGATCTAAAGGGAGATAGCGAGGTAATCGAAAGAGTCCAGCACAGAGCAAAAAAGGAGTGTGTACAGAAAGAAGCTGTTCGATAAAGAGAATATTGCGTCAATATCATGTTATATCACGCGTATACCACCGTCTACCGTCGTGACTTCGTTAGTCACATTGTTTGATTCCGGTGGTTAGCCGACAACAATATAACATGATATAGACGCAAAATTCGCTTTATCAAACAGCTTCATTCTGTACACACTCCTTTCATCGGTTTCAATATTTCATAAAACTTGTTGACATTTAAATTTCACTTCACAACAATTCGCTTGTTTTAATAATGTTTTAACATACTCAAATAATTTAATGTATTTTATTCAAAGTTCAATTAATTTTATTTGTTTAATTATTTAATTCCTAATTTACGTTTTGCATGTTTCAAAGGTACGTTCCGCAGAATTTTAAATCGTTTTACACTAATATTAATATTTAATATAATTTTCTTTTCAATTTTATTTCGATATTAATTCTTCCTTCATTGATTTTAATACTTTTAAATTATTCACAGTATAAAATTTGGCTTTGATAATGGCTACTTAGCCGAAACAATGCTGTCAGCCGACAAACTTATGGAACTTTAAATAAACACGAGTACAAAAAACTATGCAATTTTGAGATTCTTATTGAAAAGCTATTAAACGCAGAGTGGGCATATAAGTTCAATGAAACATGCATTAAAAAAAGCCTCGTTCCAAACTACATATAATATTGTATAAATATTATACATGTATACCACAGTTATATGTATAAACACACGCTCACATACATACAAATGTACAGATATGTACAAAAAATGATAAATTTTAAACTTTTCTACAATGTGGTCAAATGTTATAAAGAAGGCAAAATGTAAAATAGGTGGAAGTTGTTCATACAAATTTGCAGAATCCTAGATGCTACATCAGCCACCATTTTGCTCTTTCATTCATTGAACAATGTTTGACCGCTGAATATTAAAAAACGTTTGTCGACGACACACGCAAGCACGCTCACCAACAGCCAGCGTCCAATCTCATTAAACCATCTATGCTGTCTTTTATTCATCAGCAACAGGTAGATTTGCTATCAGTAGGTAAGCTCTATGTTGTTCACCTTATATAGAAATCATTCTAGTCTATCGAACAAATAGTCAAACGAGAGCTCAAATTTTGTTAATCTGTGTCATGTCAATTGGCTATAGAGGCGTAGAATTGAAATATGTTTACTACTTTCCTAAAGCAGATTTTTTTTTTCTGTATAAACTTAGATAATATATTGATAATGAGTTAAAAATCAAACCCTTCTCACAGAACATCCCTCCAAAGCCAGGTGCACATCTGCAGACGTTTGTGGCTACACACGTACCTCCGTTCAAACAAGATGGTTTACAAAAGGCTGTTTATATTAATTGCATTTACTTCAAACTTTAATAAAATGTGAATCGATGCTATGAACATTTAAAACATAAATTTATATTTTTTTTCTGATAAGTTTTTATTGGTAATATTATTTAATGTAAGAAACAACCACTTCCTGGTAGAAACTATGAAAATTCATCTACTATTTATTTAGTGTTGTCCTTCAATCGGCACATCGTTACTAACGTTTTCAACCACCGCGGTCAACAAATTCACTTTTGATGTAAATCTCAAAAACTTTTTGTTTAAAATCTCGAAAACATGCTTTATTCATACTCAAACCGAAAAATATTTTAATTATACATAAACATTAACTATGCCGAAAATTATGAAGCAGTGCTTCAGAATAAAATCTTGATGGTAACAATTTTATCCTTAAAAAGTTATTTGAATAAGCTGACGTCACTCAACAGTTCAGTTCAATTTTTTAATTACTTCTGACAAATTGCAATTGAAATCATTAAAATTTCAAAATGTAATTCATGACATGAACAGTGTAGCGCTTGTTCGAGCCCGACGACGTTAACTTTATGCTTAGGTGAGCCTTGCAAATGCGCTACTATATTTTACAACACGATAAAATGTTGAAGCGTCTGATTGATCCAAAAACATCAAAAAATTGACCACACTTCACCAGCTCGCGAGTGTATATAAAGTTCATAAAATGCAACATAAAATACTTAGAAAAAATATTATATATTCTTGTGTTAATTTGATAACAAACATTTATTAAACAGTATAAAGCAGCTTTTTTAATGAATTCTAAAAAATTACTGACAATAAAAAATTAATTTCGTCACTATCGGTTAAAAATATCACCTTTACAATTGGGCTGAGCGTCCCATGTTCCATCCCCCAAGCAAGTGATGACCAGGCTGGTCAGTGGCACGCCTCGGTTGCATTTATAAACCAGTTGGTCCCCGTAATCATAGTGATTGCCAAATAATACCACCGAAGAGTTTACTTGAGGCCGACCGCAACTCGTTTCTTTAAAATTTTTTCTCTAAAGTTACATTTAAACAAAATGAATGAGTGACTGTCGAAAATTTAAACTCAACTGTTACATTTCCCAGTGATATATGTCCATGATTCCTTGCCTAGGCAGGTTGTTTGGAGAGACCCAACACTAGTATATCCAGCTGAACATTGTAAAACTATTGATTCTCCCGGATGAAAGGTTCCATTCAAAAAAACGATGTTTTCAATATTTGGTAAGGTACGGCAAGGTTCAGAAATTTCTAACGTTCAAAAGACGTTTTATTGATACGAAAAATAATGTTAAATAATTTTACTGATGAAACCTCTGCAAATAGGCTGGGAACCGGTCCACGAACCATCCCTTCTGCAGATTCGATGAAGATTTCCTTCAAGCTCATATCCTTCGTTGCACCAATATCCAACAGTACTGTTGACAGTAAATGAAGTGCTGTTCATTCCACCATTTGAAATTTTATTGAGAGGTACGCATTCTTTTAATAAACATCTTGGCTCAAAACCATTCCAAGAACTGTTAATCAAACATGTTCTCTTTTCATTTCCTATCAAAATGTAATCTTCTTCACAAGAATATTCTACATGCCCGTTTAATGAGAAGTTATGTACAACAAATTGACCGTGAAATATGCTTTGAGGAGAATTGCATTTTATTTCACGACACCAAAAACTGTCATTCAAAATCCATTTTCCATCTAAAGAACAAGCTAGGGTGTTGTTTCCCATTGGTAAATAGCCAGTATCACATTTCATATAACTGTGTTCGCCAGCCGTGAGATCTTTTTGTAGTAAGTAGGCATGGATTGGAGTGGGAGGGTTTTCACATTTAATTTTTTTACATACACCGGAATAGTTTGACCATTTTTGGTTTTCTAAGCATACAGAATAATTTTTTCCATCCATGGAATAGCCAGCGCCACAAGCATATTGGGCTAATTTTTTACAGCTTGTGCTGTTGAAATTCACCTTTCCAAATAAGATTGGCGTTGGCAAGCCGCATGACAGATTTTTGAAGGTGCCTGACAGATTTTTGAAGGTGCCTGACAGATTCTTGCTACCCACAGATATCCAACAACATTCGTCACTCGAGTTGCATGACGTAAGGTTGCATGGTGGAGATTTGTAACTGGGTAAGCAACTGTTTTTATTATTATCAAAATTTGAAGCAACTAAAAGAAAGGAGCATACTGAAAATAATTTGTTGTTCATGCATAACATGGGAATGTGTGGTGCTTCATCTAAAACCAACCTACCGTTACTAACGTACAACAAATTAGTTATAGAGATTCTGTCGATATGTGAAGTTTTGTTGTTCGAATGTTCTTCGGTACATTTCTCAATTTCATCTATACATTGTTTTTGAAAAGAAAATATTGATTTAAAATTGCAAACAAAATTTAAATTGTCATTTTGGAAGAATGAATTAAATTTACAACCAATTTTTTGGAGGTCCAATGAAGAATATCCCTCGTTAAGAGAATACAGCAAATAGGTACAAATGTCAGATGAGTTACTTGAGTGACATTTTAAGTCGTTTTCAGTTGTTGGGAAGAAAATAAAAGAATGCAGCGGCTGAAAATTGTTCCAACCGCAACCTCCCAAACAGAACGGACCCATCGTTTCGTTCGTTTTTTGATCTTCACAGCATTGCAATTTTAACGATGAAAGATGAAATTTTTTCTCGGCACTAGTTTTTTCATGTCTCATTTTTTCTCCAACATAAATCTCATCATCCTGACATTTTGTTGAATCATATTCAACCTGTAACAACTTTTTGTAATGGTTTGTCATCTCAATAAATGTTTCCAGACCGCCATAATGTAAAACTTGCGACACATTCAATGAATCTTTATTTTGAAATGCAATGAAGTTTATTAATTGGTAAAGAGATAAGCTAGAGTTATTTGAAGAATTGCAAAAAGGCTCAACATTAAATACAGCTATTAGAGGAAGAACATTAATAATTTCTGTATTGTCAAACATGCATGTACATTCCTCAGAAACAAAATTTACTTCATTAACAAATATGCCTGCAATACGTGAAAAATTTAAGTTGCTGCCATTTCTACATGAAGTCATTCCTTTATTCCATATCTCATTTACGTGCCACGCCACGTGTTTCAGACCACAAAATTCACCATTTGGACCAAATCTGCATTCGACATTTTCTTCTTTGAAAATATTTAAATATGGCCGATAATTGCATTCAAAATGTTCAAAACATTCTGTAATCTCATCAGATTTATTCAAATATAAATTATTAATTTCTTGAGTTGTGCTGTTTCCGATTCCTGAATTCTCATCCGCATACATTTGAAAGACGCAAACAGGAAACGAAAAATTCCAAATTCCATCTTGCATGCATTGCAAAACATCCTCTCCTGATATGACAAATCCTTCGTTACATTTGAAAAGAAGAATGGCTCCCACATTTGTAGAAGCGTTACTTGCGATGAAACCATTCTCTATTACTGGCGGTTCACATACAATTTCTTCACATGAAGGGAAATCATGAGACCAACTTTCATTCGACAAACAGAGAACATAGGAACGTCCGGAAAGTTTGTAATTTTGATGACACGAGAACGTTAATTTAGAATTAATTGCCACCGTGAAATCAGTTATTTGTTGAAACATCTCACTATTTGATTGATTGATAATAATGTTAGTATCATTAAAAATCGTTGGCAATTGGCATGTTTTGGGAAGACATGATGGTAAGCTTGGTTTCCATTCTAAATCAACACAAAAAATGTGCGATGGTCCAACTAATTTATAATCATTAAAACATTTCACTTCAATTTTATCTAAGCTAAATTTAGAAACACTGTCTGATAAATTTGTAAAATTTGAGTAAGAAATATTTGGTTTATCGCAGAATTTTTTCATGCAGGTTGCTGGTGCATCAGACCAAAAACCAGATTTCAGACATTCTAGCTGTATAGTGCCTGAAGGTTGAAAACCTGTATTGCACTTTATATTAACAATTGTGCCAAAGGATGTATTCAATGAATCTAATTGAGCCTCTGTTATATTTAATAAAGGACATTGTATTTCTTTACAGGAAGGATGATCGTGCAACCAAGTACCGCTTGCGGTGCACAGGTTTTTTGTTTCTCCTAACAAGTAATAACCAGTCGGGCACTGGTAGGATATTTGTGAACTTTCTGGATATTTTGAATCTATTGTTTGTTCACCTTTCAAAATTTCAATAGTAAAATAATCATCTTCCGGAGGAATGCAAAATATCTGAAGCTCACAAATTGGAGATGCATGGGACCACGTGCCGTCAGCAGTGCATTCAATGACATCAACCCCTCTCAGAATGTAATCTATATCGCACTCAAATTTTATTTTGGATCCTATAACAAACTTAACTTCTTGAGAAATTTGAGAAAAATGTGACGTCGAAAAATTATAGATTAGTGTTATTAAACCTATATTTGACGCTAAAGACGGGCATTCTACTTCAACGCATGATGGAAAAATTGCATATCTCCAATTGCCAAACTGATCACAAATTGCTTCGTGCGAACCAATTAACTTGTAATGGTTAATGCATTTGAATTCTAATTTACTTCCAGGCGAAAAAATATTTGATTTATTTTTTGAAATTAGCATTCCATTTGATATACTTATTGCTTCACATAGTACAGGCAAACATTTGGGTAGAGGCTGAGGTGAAACTTTATTGTCTAGACATTTTATAGTAGAGGTTCCGTTCAGAAAATAATTTTCATTGCATTCAACATGGTAAGTTTTATTGTCTTCTAAAAACAATTCGTCACTTAGAATAAAACCGTAATCTATTTCTGGTTTGCGGCACGTTATTTGGTGGCAGAGAGGCAGATGACCGTCAAAAAGGTCATTCCCCAGACAAGACAGTGAATCTCTGCCAGATATCCTGTATCCTGGTTTGCATTTGAATTCAATCATTGAACCTCTTAAAATTTTGGGCTGTGAATAATTAACAAGTAATTCACTACTCGTTAAAGTAGGAACAATGCAATGAATATTTTCGCAAACGGGCATATCGTGAGACCAAGTTTTATTTTTTCCACAGTAAATGGATGATGCACCTTTAATCACGTAATCATCTTCACATGAAAAGTGAACTTTCGAACCAACACCAAATGTGAGTTCATTGACATTCACAATTTTGAGATGTGGCACCAGTTGCACGTTCAGCTCTGAACAGCTGCCCAACGTGCACAACGGAATGATTTCAGACCAAGTACCATTGCCCAAACAATATAATTCCATTCCTCCAATCGGGTCGTACCCATCGATACATGCAATTTCTATCTTTGCACCAACGGCTAAAACATCTGGTGATGATTGTATTGCATTTTCAACGTAGATCGGCGGACATGTAATTGGTATGCATTCCTGCATCTTTTCATCCCACAAACCATCTTCCAAACATGTTATGAAAGTTTCGCCCCGGAAAATATAATTTTGAATGCAATTGTAATGTACCACATCGCCGTAATAATACTCCAGTGATTGATTAGTTATGAAACCGTAATTTAAGATAGGAGGTTCAATGCATTTCACCGGCTGACAGTAAGGCACTTCGTTATCCCACAAACTTTTGTCAGTGCATTTCAAAACGTTGGAACCAATCAAATTATAACCACTGATGCAGTCAAACACCATAACTGAATCGACGTTTAATATTGAAATAGATTCGTTGTGAATGTAAATCAGTTTGTCAGATAATTCAGGCATATTACAAGTTATTTCTGTTGAGATGATAGATTTGGATTTTAGATTGAAATATTATTTGGTTGTCAGATAAGAAAATTAGATACGAATATTTTTAAATTTATTATCAAAACTCACCTTGACAGTATCCAAGACTACCACGCCACACACCATCGTCTTCGCAAACTACATGATTGTTGCCTATTATTTTGAAACCGTAGTCACAACTGAAGTTTGCTACTGATTCGAAATAATTCTCAGAAAATGTCCATGTTGCATTGTAAACAGCGGGCAATGTAAGACATTGTAATTCTGTTGTATAATACTTTATATTTAGTATCTTTTGATTACAAAATTATACAAATTATTAATATATTTCATTTTGCATTTTTTATTATTTCTGTCATTCGAGCTCTTTTTTTGTTTCAATACTCATTAAATTGATCGTTGTTAACAAATAGTGCACCATCTAAATGATAATAATTTTCCGTCATCTTGTTGGTCGGCAGTGTTGTTGCAGAATCGAGCATAAACAACTATTGTCCACACATTCACCAACACCTTAAACTAAACGACTGGTCATCCTAGCTGTCATGGTCAACGTCTACACTTGCACCCTGTTCTTGCTGCCTGCGCGTGTTGATAAAAACCGAAAGTCGTTTTCTTTTGTTTGAATTTAGTTAGAAGTTAGTGTTACGATACCATTTATTAGTGTTTGGCAAATGGGATTGTTTAGCATATTTTGAGCTGCGTCATTATCAGTTTAAAAATTATAGATGAAAGAAAAAGACTCAGTGAAGCCGAGTATAAAACTTGCCAAAAAAGCAAAAAATGTGATATTTGCTGTTACTAACAAGCCCAAGACTTAAATCAAATCAAGTAAGCAAAAACTTGTTTTCATTTTGATATTTGAAGAAAAGTACATTAGAAAAGAAAAGAAATTATATGTACCTTCATAATATCGGACTTTAAAATAATTTTTTAATACTTTATTTGAATATATCTTCTACATAGTTTTAAAGATATCACTGAAAGAAAAAGACAGTCAACCTCTTACACTAAGCTTACAATTAGATCAATTTAAAATTATCTTGAGTCAAATTTGTTTTTTAACTTAAACCCTGAGAATAATTTCCTATATTATGGGCACCTTGTAAATACTCACACGCAAACTTAATGCGTCAATTCACATACGCTGCATATGTAAGTTGTTGATACTTATGATAATTAGTAAATAACAATCACTAGCATTTATTATCGTTTTGTCTCCTGTTTCTTCAAACAATACGTGAAAAAATTCTGACCATTGTACTAAATAACGAATTTGCAAAATGAATCAAATTGTAGAAAAATAAGGTGTAGGTAATAACTTTCACAAGAGGGCTCTGTGCTGCTCCACTCATTTGAGGCATGGCACTGTCTTCTTGAGGTACCTTTCATATTGTAACCAGATGAACAAGAATATTGAATATATGAATTATATGAAATTGATGTCCAAATGATATTTCCATTCGTTATCGGATTTGGTTCAAGACAAGCTGCAAAGAGTAAATATCATAAAATTAAATACTGACATTGAACTATACCGCTTGACCTAACGTTGACCTAAAAGTAAAGACGCAACGAATATTCGGCACCAAACAGCCTGGCCTGACTGAAATTTGATTTCGGCTTCGGCCATTTTAAAATGTCAGATAGCCAAATAGTGAAACTTAAGTTTAAGCCATAACGTTTTTGGATTCCAAAAAAATTGCTAATTATTGTTAGTTAAAAATTCATTCTAATTTAAAATTTATTCTGTTAAAACATATGAATTTAAATAAAAAATTGAATATTATTTCGATAAAAATTGTTGGATGAATTGCCTACAATTTTTTTCCAATAACTTGTTTTCAAAATTGGGATTTTTTGGTATTGCGTGTCCAGTGAATAAACTATTCGGCTATTTGATCTTTGGTCAAATTTACTATTTGAACCATCTCTACCTGGAAGCGTTTGCGTCATAATATCGTATTTTGACTTTAACAGGTACCATTACTTTGAGGTTTGTATATTTATACTATAGACATGGGCGTGTGTGTGTGTTACTCTTTTAATAAAAAGTGCTGAGATGCTAAACAATTTTTAGCAAGTATTCAGCACCAATCCTTGTCAATCAGAAATTTGCTGTTTACAGGTAATTTTGTCTCATTTAATACAATCAAGTAAAAGTAAACCGTTTAAAATACTTGTTAACTAAATGTATTCAAAAAATATTTTGTTTTATCGGTTTTAAAAAGTGTTTGATACGAAAACTTGCATATTTTTATTAGTTCATTTTTGCCGTCAGTAGTTCGGTGACAATAGGCTAGTATTTCAAACAATAAAAATAACAATAAAAATATAGAAGGTTCAAATATTTAACAAATTAATAAATGCCCATTTTATTACAAAACAGATGGCACCTGAGCAAAGAACGGAAGGATCCACTTGAACATTCCCAACTAAACTGTGGATCAAATCCGGCCATGCAAGAACATTTCCAGTGAATTCGTCACACTTGTTGTACAGATCGCTTATTTCCTTGTCCTCCAGCATGCGACTCCAAATATTAAATCTGGATAAACTTCCAACGAATGTTTCCAATATGCTGAAGCCACCTCCAACTTCATCTTGTTCTTGCCCAACCACTAAGACACCATCGCCTACGTGTATTTTTGAAACATTTGAGTTCATTGTTTTGAAATTCTGATCGACTCAATAACATTAATTGCTAAGTAAATTTATTTTTTTAAACAGAGAAATTAACTATGTGAGAAAGATAGAAATGGCTTGCACTGTTTCTGGGTATATCCAGTTACGTAGTGCAGTGATGATGTTCCTGGCAATGAATGCGCTGAAATGACGTTCACATTCAGCAGACGATGCAATAATTACGAAAAGGCGCCGTGCAATGCCAGATAATATTGGAAATTTTGTTGCATTCTCCTCCCACCATGATAATGGATTGAATACATTGTTCTCCTCTGAATCTAATGTGCAATAGGTGCATTTCGAATTATATCGCTTAATTTCATCATTTGTTCTCTGCTTCAGAGGTTTTAAAAAACAGATTTCGTCTCGGATTTTGCTTTGTTGACACCTATATTTTGAATTTGAAACCACGCAAAAGAAGATTTTGCTTTTTTACTAGGCTGTTCAGAGACATCTGTAACATGTGTTGTGTTCTCAAAAGGTAGAGATTCCGAATTGCTTCTTCCTTCTTTGGCAACAACTGTGTTCAAGATCAAGTCCTCCAATTGCATGTTATCATCTGTTTTATTTGGTATATTTAAGCGTTCTTCACCTTTTTGTTGATGAGTCAGTGAGTCAAATGTTCTGACCAATGACACATTAACCCATCCAAAAACAGTGACCCATTGACCCATAGTCAGCTCTGATAAAGACAATATAAAATTCCGAAAAGAATCTGAAAAAGTTAGACAACCTTTAAACCAGTGACAAAACTGCTCAACCGGAATGAACAAACGAATAACTATCGTAGAAAAAATTGATACTGTTGCTATTTATTGAAACATAACTCAAAATATACTCTTTTAACAAAGCAACTCAGAAGAAATAAACTTTAAAGTCTAATTTTACATATTTTTTCAATTAACAGCTGGTTTTAAAATATTTTATGTCTTTAATTATTTTCAAATGGTGTAGATTGTAAGAAATAATTGTTACTGAAGATAAAAATTGTTACGACAACGTACGCAATTGTAATAATTTAATATTTCTAGATATAGTTTTTTGAACTTTGCGTGTATTTTACTCAAGTCAACTCGATGTACATTGCATCATCCGAAGTCAAAGATTCAAAAATTTGTCTACGCAAGCATGAATCCATGTGAATGATATTAAAAAAGCATGCACAAAATAAGAAAGACACATAAGTCTCACTTCTTAATTTTTCAGTTTTCTTAACTTTCATCTGACCCGAATCCACTTTTATTGCATCTTTGTAGATAGCCCAATCTCTTCCAGACCAGAGTATGGCAATGTGGTGCCATCTGCCATCATTGCACGTTACGTCGGTCACTTTTGATTGACCATTTATGTAAAGAACAAAACTGACGACAAAATTTATAAATTAATTTAATAGTACTGAAAAATAATAAAAATGCATTTTGTTTAAAAAATGACCCATTGTAATCTGTTAATGTGAAAGCATTTTCATGATCTTTGGTCGAGTAAGAAAATGGCGTTCCCTGACTGTCAGTGTCTCCATTCTTCATCCAGAAGGCCACGCTGAGTTTCTCCACGACACCAGATCTTAATGCATTTTCAACGAAGGCGTAGTTAGTGACGGATGCAAAAGAAAATGTCAGGTCGAAGTTCGATGACAATTCTGACAAGTGAGATAAAAATTAAATTGGCAAGGTAGTGAAAATACAACAATCGTATTACACAGAAAAATTTAAATAGAAAAAAATTAAAAAAGATAAATCTTTTTAACTAGTTGTATTTCCACAATTTTAATGAAAAATAGTTCACTGAATATAATACTTATGCTAAAGAACCGAAAGTCAGTTTTACTATTCTCGCAATTGGTTCCTCCGTAAGATGGCTGACAGTTGCATTTGTAATGTGCTTCGTGATCAATACATGTGGCGTTGTTCAGGCAGGGATTTGACAGGCATTCGTCTAAATCATCAGCGCACAACAACCCTCCGTATCCATCCTCACACTTGCAACTGTTCAATTGTGTCACGTCAGCATATTATTCATGTAGTTATTTGGAATGAAAAAAACATTATTAGCAAAACTATCCAGAGCAAATCATTCTTGAATGGCTAACTATAAGAATCCGCACAAACCGATCAGGTCAGGATATGAATGTGAATTTAACGCTTGAAAATATTTTGATCTTGATCATTGAGGATTGATTCTTCACGTAGCAGACGTTTTGTGGAAACATTATTTTCAAACTTACAAGATTTTAAGAATGTCGTCAAGCGACTAAAAAAAGAAAGGGTAGTTACACAGATAACCAACGACATGCAAATACAAGTGCAGTTGTGTGTATGTGAGTGGATGTGTGCTGGTGCAGATGGTTGTTTGTCTCTGCTACTCATGTATCAATGGATGATATGAAGGCAATCAATTAATGCATGTACGTTTTTTTCTTTCAATATCTTTATTTTGGGTTTATTTTGTTAGCAGAGGGAGAGCGTAGCAACTTCATGTTCAAGTAAGGATGAAACAGAGAAAAAGTCGTGCTTGCAAAACGGTTAAAACTAACAGCTTTGTGGAGCTTATATCGAATATGTTTTTTTTGCATTGTTTCAATAATAAAATTTATATTGTTATTCAAAGTTAGAAAGTTTTTATAACGTAAAACATTTGCATATTTTATTCACATACAATTGGCAAAATAATTTGTTTTAATTAAAAAATTAAGTTAAAAAAATTTAATTAAAAAATTCTAATGAATACTTTCGTGATGAACACAACCTGAAGCCAGCGACCAGATCAACGCATGTGGCACCACGTAGGCAGGGATTGGACCGGCACTCATTGATCTCGACCTCGCAGTGGACGCCCAGGTACCCCTCGTCACAAATGCACGTGTAGCCTGCAATCTCATCGACGCACGTACCCCCGTTGAAACAAGTGATGCTTAAACAATCGTCTACTACAGTCTCGCAGAATGAACCTTTGTTTGTTGGCGCATCAAGTGTAACTTAGGTAAGATATTGAAATTATAAACATTTGTAGATGTTGAATCAGTTTGTTCTTCAATCAAAAATTTTTAAAGTTATATAAAATTTAAATAAATTTAAAAAGAATCGTAAAACTTAAAATTGTTTATATTGACAAATTTTTGTCTTCTGTCGAATGAATGATTAATTTCAGTCAACAAAGATTGAACAATTATTTGAAATCTATGCTGGAAAATTTGAATATAAAACCTGTGTAATCAGGTTGGCAGATGCAGTGGAACCTATTGACAAAATCAAGGCAGGTGGAATTATGAAGACAGGGCATGGAGGCACATTCGTCGACATCACGCTCGCAACTGGCTCCTGAAAAAATTTTGTTCTTTGAGGGGAATAGCATCGCTAAGTTTTACAACTTTATGAAAGTATTTTTAAAAAGATTTAGCGGTTTTAGTTTAATTTCAACATTTTAAAAACAAAAATAAGTTGAAGTTTTATGTAATATTTTATATTTAAACCATTGAAACATTTGAAAACCCACCAGCGAAACCAGGCAGACAGTTGCAGGAATATCCGTTCAGCTGGTCACTGCAAGTCCCTCCATTCAAGCAGGGCTCAGAGAGACATTCATTTACTTCAATTTCACAGTTCATTCCTTCACCATGAAAAATTCGATTCATCATAATCATAATCACCACCACGAAGCTTTATATCCACACCTGCAAACTTACGATAAGCAGCAAACTATAACTGCTAGAATGGTCAGTACACATACATGTTACAAAACCGCATTTTGCACTGCTTCTTGTTTCGTAAAGTAACCCGCCAGTTTATTTATTTTAAAAAATTAATTGAACCTTTCAATAAATTTTCGACAACTTTATCGAAACCGAAACGATTTGTCAATGTTAGAACCATATCATCTTCAATATAATCGTTCAAATTTGATAATTTTTGAAAAATTTAAAAAGATATCATCGATCATTTTCTGTTAGCAACTTATATTACATAATTATAATAGCGTGGAAATATGTTCTACGGTTTTGAAGGTTTCACAAATGATGCGACTGGAAGGCCTAATTGTTTTCAATTGATGTGTGATGTTTGTGTTAGAGACATCTAAACATTCATTATATATTTCATTATAAACCAACAGGTCTCTTCAAAGTCATCGAGAAATCTTGGAACTTATTTTACAGATTTCTGCAAGCTGTCTCATCCAATGAGTTGAAAGATCTTGAACTTATCAAAACAAAATTGCATTCCAAAACATAATCAAGATATTTTTCAGCACTCAAAAAATAGTACATTTCTGTAAATCATAAATAACATAAAACTTTAATAAATATTTAAAGACAAACGACACTAATAATTATAAAAAACACGAAAGTAAAGATTAAACAAATGATACTGACCAGTCCATCCAAGCAGACACGTACATTGGTATGAAAGAAACATCACCGCACATGAACCACCATTCAAACAGGGCATGCTGAAGCAATCATTCATCACCAGATCATTCTCGTTGTGATTGGTTGACGCTTGCAAAGCTTCAAACTGTTGAGAGCAGGAGGTAGCACCGACTTCAGTAGTCGTCGTGTTTGATGGGCACGCCATGCACAAACTTCCACCCTTGCCAGGCTGGTAGTATCCTTTGGGGCATGCGAGGCACGGCTCCAGACCAGACTTCGATATGTACCCCTCCTCACACTGGCCTGCAAATGGGATCCACAAACATGTGTTCTGATGTATTCTAACATACATGCTTGCCCTTTTCATAGCATATTCAAGCATAAGTTTATGCTACATAAGATAAATACAGTAAAAATAATTAATAATCGTATTAAAAAATATTGATGTACAAATATTATTAATATTATAGTTGTTGTTATTATTAAAAAAATCAAAAATATAACTATTAATCATTTAATTAGTAAGAATTCTTGAAGTGAAATTGTTTTTGTGTTTTATGATCGAAGAGTTATTTTGATGGGCGCGTCTAATATTTGGCGATGTGTCTTAGAGCACTACATTTTAAAGAAAAATAAAATTAATTATTATTATTGCACTCGGTCACTCTCAAACACAGTGCATTCAAAACGTTTACCGTTGCACTACAACATCTCAGTATTTCATTAGCGCACAGAAACAATCTACATCACGAACGGCACCAGTTCGTTACAATGCGCCATTACGTCACTTCAAATCTTACTTTCGAATGTATAGTCAAGAAGCGTATAGTTCGGGGTGTTTTTCTTTCAATTTTAAATGGGCTGACGAGTTCAACGCAACCAGCGCGTTCAGTTTTTTGTTATGTAGAACAAACGTCAGAAAGTTTGAGGTGTTTTTAAAATCACCAGCAATTAATAAAATTCATAATAAATTCAACAATAAATAAGTTTTAATAAAATAAAGAGTTTCTTGAATTTTTAAATTAAAAAAATTATTATCCCAATAAAAATGCGGTTAATCAGATAGAAAGTTATAAAAATTTGTTGAACAATTTTTAATTTATTGAAAAAAAAATGTATTAAAAAAAGGTTCAAAAATTTTGTAATTGTATGGCGTCAGAATTGTTCCTTTTTCTCTGAATAATCTAGCATTACAATAGCTACATCAGCTCTACTATTGAAAAACTATTAAGGGACATGCTGTTTTCAAGGAGCGTTAAAATATTTTCTATTAAGTATTTATTTTGTTTCAGTGATTCAAGTTTTTCTGAAACAGCTTAGTAGAACAGTGGAGTACAAGCAAACAAATGAAACAAAATATAATAGGTTAATAGAACGTAGTTTTATTTAGATGAGCATTTATTTAATCATCAACGACAAACAGACCCTTGCAATCTGATGACGACCTGGAGCCTCGTTTCAAAGTGGTGAGGTTGGCCGCACACTGGAAGCATTCCACTTGAGCATACATATGCTGGTAGGAGGATACGTCGCATGTCCAACACGGCTCTAAGCCGTCAAATGAAAAAGAACCTGGAAGACATTGGCCTGCAAATTAGTGTTATAATTTAATCGCCATCAAAATTCTGACTTTCTAAAATATTAAAATATTTGCTGAAAAATAGTAAGAAATAACATACTTATTTATCATTTAAGTTGTTTCGTGCATCTAGGTGCATACATTCAAATTTATATCTAAATTATCAAAAGGTGTTTTGAATTGAAGAGAGCATAGGATAGGTATTGGATATTTAGTTACTAATTTTTTTAATCAATTTCCATAAATACAGATTTATAAAAATGTAATTAAAAACCACAAATTAAAATAAAAGTTTGCACTAAGAAGTCTCAAGGCCATGCTGGTTAGTGGTTACAGGTAGAATTCCAAATAATAATTGTTGTACAACACTCACGTTTACACTGCTGCAGACTTTTCGAATTGTTGTTTGTGGTGGAGGTGTTGTGCGGACACACCAGACACGCGAGTTGTCCCTCATTGTGTTGGTACGTGTCTTGGGGAGGTGTTATATTTGTATGAGGAATAGCATTTTTATATTATATCAAATCGAGTGCATAATCACGCTAATTTAAATACTTTAGCTTTTGGTAATAAGTTTGAATGTTTGCTGTTTCGTGCTATTTGAAGGGGTTATTATGTTTTTGACAAGCAATGCGCACACATGTGCGAGAAACATGTTAAAGTTAAACCACGTATCACAAGATTATATGTCTAGCAGCAAAAATACAGCAAACTAATTAGAAAATTTCTTACTTATTGGACAAGTTTCGCACGTTTCAGAGGTCACATTGAAGAACATTCCAGCTGGACACAGCACTGAAAGCAAACAACTTCATTGCAAGCAGAGTGTCAGAGTCGGATGGAAAAGTCTGACTCCCATCCTCGGACTCCGACACTCTGATTACAACTATTGATTTATACATTCAATTATGCTTTTTCCTTATCGGCCCTTCATAATGAAAGTTATTGAATAATTTTTTGTGATGAGAGTTACTTCGAACTGATGTCACAAAATTAATTGACAGAAAATTTGAAATTGTCGTGTACCGAACAAAATTAAAACTTGTATACACGCACATTTTTCAAAACAGCTCAGTGTATGTACTACAGAACGTCTTTACATCAGAAACGTTCAATAAAATTGCCAAGGTTATATTGTACAAGTTGTTCTGATGTTTAAAACATGCAATCTATTTATTAGGTCTAATAAATGGATGATTATTGGAAAGTTGAAAAATTATTTGAGGCAATAATTGAACCAACCGCAATCTGTCTGCAGTGGCACGGAGCCAGTGGGGCAGACGGCTTTTCTTTCTCGAGTCTTCATATCAACCAGCCTCAATTTATTCTCTTCGTACATAAAATCAAAATCGCCCTTCAAAGCATCCTCATTAATTTTCTGAATTATTTCAGACAAATCATTTTCTAGTGAATAACTTTCTTGAAAGGAAGAATTCGCAAAGCCAGCTGTGCAAGAATGCAGTCATGAAATGAATTGTTAGGTTTTTACGTTGAAAAATTTTAAAAATTACCTGTTACAGTGAAATTCATGATGGTTTGGTCAAATGCTTCATCATTAGTACTTTTATTGTTGAAGTAATTGACAAAAATATGTCTTTTTCTTTTGTGATTTGAATGTTCTTCCACAATTAAAAAAATAGGTATAAGTATATAAATTTTAAACAAAAGATATCAAACAATGAGTACCTAAACATTGCGATGGAGCTTGAGCTGAGAAACAGCTTAGGTAAGGCTTGCAATACTTTTGTAGCTGTCCAACAATTAAATATTAATTAACACAACTGATTGGGGGCATGTACCAGCGTACAAATAAGTGGTGTAACCTTTGAGTTTAAAACGTTCCCTACACTAATCTCAAGCTTGATAAACAGATCGGACTTGTTGCAGATTGAGTTACCTCTGAAGTTGAGCTGAGTGCTTTGCTGAATTGTTTTTGATTTGAGAGACTTGGCGCAATCACTGGGTGGCCACAAAATGTTCGGCTCCCATCTTCCCTCCTCATAATTACATGAGTAAGTTGGTGCAGGGTTGTTTACAAATTTAAATCCGTGGTTGCAATTTGACGTGCAAAAAATATAATTGTCAGAATCCTTACATTCCAAATATCCGTTCGTCGGCTCATGTTTGTTGCACAAATGATCTGAAAGAACAAATAGAAATTTTATTTTTGTTAGCTTAAATTTTAACTAGCACTTCAACAATAAAAATTTATATGAGTTCATTGAACTCAACAATAAAAAAATGAAGTACTGAGAAATGCAAAACTTAAAATTAAATGCAAAGGTCAAATAGCTATTATTAATATGTTATATTAAGAACTAATACGGATTGAAATAAGCTACATCCACCTTGCACTGTGATCGTTACAGTGCAGTTGCTGGTGTTGTTGAATTTGTCGGAGGCATAATAGACGAGGTTTGAAGTTCCAGTTGGGAAGCTGAGAGGTGTCGAAGGTCCAACTATGTGGACCGCATCTCCTGAATTGTCGGAAAATATCGGTTCTTCCCAAATGATCTGCATCGGTGTGTGCTTCCTAATAAAGGGCATGGGAGGGGAGACGCATCTGTCAACTCTTGGAGATTCAATATCTGCTTTGAATAATAGTTTACATTTAAAAAAAACTGGTGAAAGAAAATTTCGATATTAAACTTTGCAATTACCATAAAATGTTTGCTACAAACATCAAGTCTTCCATAACTTATAACATATTTTATGCATGATAGAACATAATTCTGAATATATTGGTATGACGACGACCAAGTTATAGAAAAGACTCTACACGCACGTACAAACTGATGCTATAAAGAATCACATGAAAGAGAAACACAAAACTAAAATTACTAAACAAATCTTGGACCACAATGTTGAAATCTTACATGACTAGCCGAATCATGACTCATAGAACATCCGATAAATAAATATTCAACAACGGGCAATTGAAATTCTTCTTATCAATTTTTGTTCTATCATGCATAAAATAAACAAAAATTTTAGTTTTGAACTTAAGAAACTTGAAAATGATTTACAATCAACCGTTAGAAAAATCGAAAGTTAAATTGGAAGTTAACTAACGCCGAACATGCTGTGATTTTCATCAATAATTGCATTTCTGACAGTCTTAATTCAATATATATACGAGTGCATTTATAAAAAATAAAAAAATATGCATGAGAAGAGTTAACATTAAAACATTTGGGCAAAACGCTTCACCTACGACTGTCACGTCAAATAAGCATTGAGCTTTGTTCTTGCCCATATCTTCAGCCACGTACTGGATTGTGTGTTTGCCAATAGGTAGGTAGGTAGGAGAGTGGACTGAAGGAATGATGTAGAGGTAGGGTGATATATTTGAATTGTCGGTCGGTTTTGGATGGTTCCATGATACCAATGCAACATTCTCGTTCAACACTGTTCTCACCGTCTGATCAGAGGGACATGTCATTTCTGGAGGAGTTATGTCTGGTCAGAAATGTTAGGTTTGTTGATTTTTACATTTCATTATAATATTTCCAGTTTTTTCCAATCGTCTGTATTAGTTTTTAGGGATATGATAACATGAAGATTGACTATTTAATGTTTTAAAGCAATTAATAATAAGACAAAATTCAACATAGGACAAAATGAAACATTTTTATAATACTCAAGTAAATAAATTTTAAAAATTGTATTCTAGAATATATTTTTTAATGAAACTTTTCGGCCGTGAATAATTATGAGTTTTGTTTACTGATCTTACTTTCTCGTTTATCGGTATTTTTTATTTTTCATTCATCTTATTTCTTTTTTTAGTTTGAGGATGTGAAATGGAAATTTAATTTTGAAACACTTTTTTCTTTTAGGAGCGTAGCCAGAAATTTGCCGTGAGAAAAAATCTTAAATTCCTTTCAAAAAACTTGACTTTTTTATCACCAAATTTTTAAAAATTTCGCTAATAAAACTAACGTTTTTGCGCCAAATTCTCTTTAATTTAATATAAAATTTATTGCTTATAGTAATTTTTTCGGTTCAAATTTTTAAAAATTTTTGAAGAGATTTTGATCATTTTAGCTTTAATCCTCGCAACATTTTTCATTTTATTGGCTTCCTCCTTTTTAAACCATTAAAAATTAAATACAAAAAACTGAAAAAAATTTTTTGAATCAAAGTTTCCTTATTTCATAAATTTAATAAATATAAGTTTCAATTCTACAAACTGTAATAGAAATTTGTTAAAAAGAACTCTGCCCCTCTGTCGAGAATACGAAAAATTAATAGCACAAAAGGGGACGTCGTTGAGCACAACATCTTTGCTACAATGTGTCCGGCTTATTTTTAAGCACCAAGACCAACCAATGGTTTTGCTCAACCCCATTCCGTCATATTTATAACTAAATAAATGTTGAAATGCAAAAATTGAACCTTTGCAATAGGAATGATAATCCGCAATGCTCCATTTCCCATTGCTGAGACAAGTTTTGTTCGAAGGTCCGAGTAGTTTAAACCCAGAAAAACATGAAAAATAGCATATACTTCCAGAAGTCGATTCACTTGTGGTACAACGTTTTGGATGTGTGAGACCATTCTTCAACTCTGGCAGTGCGTGGCATTGAATCGCTGTAAAGTAAATGAAAACTTATCATGTCTGCAAACTTAAATGGATTTTAAACGTACCAATAAATTTTAATGGTCGTAAATTATAATAATATATTTACAGTATTAAAATGTTTTTGGTCTCAGTTGTGTAAAAGTAACACCCATAACGTAACGTGATGTAACACGACATGACATGACATAACAACCCAGACAATAAAACATAACACATATCATCTAAGTAAATAAGAAGCACGAGAGCTCGTTAGTCAATCACTGATATAAATAACAGAGCTTGTCTTCCGATAAATTTTTCAAAATAAGTTTGTTGTAAGAAACTATTTCATTCCTGCAATAAAATGAACAATGACCGCTCCGTTAACTTGGTTACTGACACTTTTATTAACGGCCTTGCCAGAGCAATGATGTTGACGTTATCCTGAATTCAAAAATAAATTAAAAAGGATTAATGATAAAATTGCATCGCACAATAATTGAAGTTAGACAGGATCCGATGCAGAGTGTCAAAGGCAAAAATCTCATTGCCAAAAGCTTGAAAGACAATTCAGAAGGACACCGTCTGTCCTTCATGAAAATGAGGGATTGATGCTTTGGTTGTTAGAAAATATCTTATCTCTGATAAGAAGAATTCATTTTGAAAAGATCTGGTTAGTGATACTGGACGCTATCACAAACATTTTTGGAATGTTCTACATACAATGTTATGTAAGATGATTCATCGGTTAACTCTGCAGATAGTACTTAACACACAGCCCAATCATATTTATCATTTTTTAATAGCAAAATTGAAAAAGTTAGAAATTCGCCCGAGTCTAATGTTCAGTCGTCGTTTTCATGCAAAGGCATTTCAAACAGCAATCTGCTTTCCTTATTGACAGCTTGCGCTGAAGATGATATTTGAACAGCAATTAGAGATTCATCAACAAAAATTTCATTCTTGGATTGTCGGCCAACTTACGTCTTGTAATGACTTGCTAATTTATTCTCAAAATTTTTTATAAGTTTTTTTATTCTCTGTTTGTGTACGGGCAAATTTTCAGTTGTTTACAAGTATGCCGTGATTTTTTTGCCAGATTTGAGAAAAGGGTATTTGATAATTAACGATAAAAATAATTACAGAAAGTCAACATTCTCTCTTTATGTTCAAGGTGATTAAACAAATAATCACCAGACTGCTTATGAGACATTTGGAGCAAGAAAACTTGTTGCCCATGTACGAATCCGGTTCGAGGCAGCACCATTAAATGAAACATCATTGCTGAAGATACAATTTACACTGTTTGCGACAATAGATGCTAAAAATGTTTTTCTGCTGGTGCTCTTGAACCTGAGCGCGCCTTTGACTCTGACGATCAGGTCATTTTGCTAGAGTGGTTAGATCAATTTTAAGGTGTTTCAAGGTTTTCTTCATACGTGCTTTATGCCCTATTTAACAAACCGAACCAAACGAGTGATTTTCAAAAACGGTTTGTCTGAAACACACGGGGTTGCTTCGGGTATACCGCAGAGTTCGGTTATCTGACCGATTTTATTTCTACTGTGTTTTTTGTTGGGTTCTACACTTCCATGGACATTTTCACGCTGTGTTCTTATTTTATGTACTTCCTTACTTATAGACGTCGTAGAGTGGACCTCTGTAATTGACAATTTCTTCGGTGATGTGTTATTGGAGGCTAACTTTTCTCGATATGATTCTTTTTATAGTTAATAAATTTTTCTTTTAGCCTTGTTTAAATTTTCTGTTTTTGCAAGTTTTGTGGATTCGTATTTTTCTTTTAGATACATTTTATATGACTTTGATTCTCTGTAGGTATTTTTCAAATTTTGCTCTAAATTTATTATTGTACCTGTAACGCGAGAATGATTGATTTGTTCGATTCTTCTACTTATTTTAATGAAGTACGTTATTAACTGTATCTCTTTGTGATAATTTGTTTTCTGTTAGACATTTTTTATTTTCGAATTTCTGTTTTTGTTTGGCAATATGCTATGTCGCGCTATTGGATAAATGAATAAAAAAATACACTTAAAGTTTGATAAACTTCATTATATATTTTAAACATGTAGCTGACGGATATAACGAAAAGCATATGACTAAGAATGCTGACACATACATTAGTTTATTCAAACTAAGTATTTATTAATTTAATTATTATCAAATTAAAAATAATTTAAAATATGTTGACAATTGATAACAAAATCATTATGGCTACCGTTACAGTGGGCCTGCATGCCCGTCCACTTTGCAAGTGCGAGACAGGATCTGCTTCTCGATCCGGTCAGCGAGTAGTCAGGAGTGCAGTGGAAGTGACATTCAGTTTGAATTGTGAAGTTGTTGTTGCTGCAGTTCATGAAGCCGTTCGTGGGAGGTGACAACGAAGGACATCTTTTTGCTTAATTTTCATTACTTTGTATTTATAATAAAAAGAAATGAAAATTTTATTGATAACCTGCTAATAATTTTATTCAGGTGTTTAATTTTTGAAACATTCACTATTATTTGAACGGTTACACTCGAAAATCTACTTTGGATAAAACGCTTTTTGAAACCTTTTATGTCTGTGCGTGTTGAATAAATTTTAGAAGCAACTTACCCTGACAAACACTTTCTTCCCCCGACCAAATTCCATCTTCATTACAAATCCTCACACTGCTACCAATCAGCTGGTATCCAAATTCACAGGACAGTCCGCAAGCTGCATTCACTGATTTCGAGCAGTTGCCTTGCACGAAGAATCCATTTTTAGGGGGAAGTAGATCAGGACAGAGTTTGGCTGTTTATAATTTGTTAAGAACAATTTTGAATGAAATAATTGCTGTTGGATGTTTTATTCATATGACTAGACGTGTTTTAAACTAATATTGAGGTAATAGGCTTTTTTTAGGGTCAAATGCAAACAGGCAAATAAATGGAGATGTCTGTGTGCTTGCTCGTGTTTGGGGGTGTTTTAAAAGTTGAACCATTTTTCGAAAAGTTGGTACACGTAAGAAATTTTAACATTTTTTAATGTTTTGTGTGAAAATTTATCTTGTTCAGTTTGGCATGAATTATTTTGCGTTAGCCGTCGCTTTTTCAAAAATTTGTAAGTGCCGTGAAATATATTGTTATTGGAAAGTTATCTAAACTTGAAATTTATATAGTCAGTTTGAAATATGCAAAATGCATATTTTTTGCATATCGAATAAACTTATTAAAATGCCTACCGATATACTAACCAAATTAAAATTTAGGTTTAATCTGTACAAGTGTACACTGTACAGTGTTTACCATCAATCTAGAACTCAATTGAACAGATGCAAATAATCATTAAATTAAAACGTTGTCCTTAGTTAAGTTTTAGCTAATAAGATTCTGTGAAATATATCAATAACTTCAACATTTTTTACCTTCACAAATGCTCTTTTTAAGTTGATAACCAGGTTTACAAATGCATTGTTGCACAGATGAACTGGCGAGTGGCGAGATGTGGTTGACATCGGGACAAGGTGAACAGGTGCTTACGTCACCTGGACTTGAAAAAGTTTTGTAAGTTCCTTGTGGACAAGCTGTTGAACGAAATTGTTTAAATAAAAAAATTACAAATTTATTTGAGTTTTTAAAAATTTTCCCTCACCGAAACAGTTTCCTTTTAAACCACTGCCGTAATAACCAGCCTTGCATACACATTCATATCGGCCTGTGTGAGTGCCACATTTACAAGTTGCTAAAGTGTCGCAACAATTTTCCGTAACTGAATTGCAAAGATTTTGACAGTATTTCAAGTTCTGTAGAACATAATTACCACTGTGCAAATCTGCCAGTACAATTTTATTAACATTCTAAAATAATTTAGAAATCAAATGAAGAGGCAATATTACCTTCATGGAGAGCTCGTCTGGCAAGAGCTTCAAATTCTTCAAATGAGTTGAGAATGTAAGTATGCTCAACACGAGGGTACGATGCCATTTCACATAACTCCTGTACATTTCCTTTCGAAATACCAATCGTAAAGATTTCAATTCCTAGTTGCTTCAACCACTCTGCCACAGGTTTTGGGTTTCCATTGTTTGAGAAACCATCAGTTATAAGAAAAAGTGTTTTTTTAGCGTCCAATCTCGAAAACTTGAAAACACTCTGTGATGGATTACACACACATATATATTTTACATTTACATTATTTATTGTACGGTCACGTTGCAAATTACAAAGTTAGTAATCAAAGAATCATCAACTAAAACACGACGTGACCAACAAAATAAATAAAAGACAAATCTTCAAAAGAAATAGATGTTTTCAATTTTTATTTGTTACAAGACAAGGCCCAGTCTGAAGTCTAATGTTGACAAACTGCTAATAAACAGCTTGAATTTATAAAAATTTAATAAAAATGTTTTTTGAAGCTATATTAAATGTAAACGTTGATGAATGAAATTTAATTTTAAACTTGAAATCTTCAAGTAAGATTTGCAAACTTGTGCTTCTAGCATCGCCCCGAGTGTGTACGTGCCCCCACCGGTGTATTGAATGAGAGGAAAGTGATGCTGCATGAGTGCACATTTGTGGTTGTGTTCGTGTGGTCGCGTCATGTAGTCGACATGCCGATGCACTCTGCTCTTTGACGAAAACGTCACCACTGCTACTCTCGTCGTGTGCTGGTCGACCGTGAAATCGGAAAGGAGTTTCTTCACAAATTTGAGTTCGTTGTTGAAATTTTTTACTCCTACTGATCCCGAAGCATCTATCAGAAACACCAACTCAACCTTCCAATTTTTTGTATCTCTCAATTTTTGAACGTGTTTCTTTAAAATGGATCCCAAAAATTCTATTTTTGTAATGTTTCTAATATTAAAATTTTTCTGTGAATTTTCGTTGCATAATCTCTTGTCTATAGCTTCATCATCATTTTTATTGAGTGCAGCAGTTAAAGAAAATTTATTGATCGCTATGAAAAAAATGTAAAAGAATGAAATTTTCTGAAATTTAAAAATTTTAGCCATTTTAATTTTGTCACTCTGCATTCAGCGCATTTATATCGCGAGACTAAGAGAGTCAGATATAATCTGTGGTGAGATAGGATCGCTGAGTCACATAGACTTTTCAATGAAACAACAACGTGACGAAATGCAGAATCTCGCACTAAAATTTAATGTTTAATTTGACGCTTCAATTAATTAAAAGCTGTAACAAAATAATTTGTATTTATTTTTATAGATAATTGATAACATGGTTGACATTATTAGTGGCTGTCCTGAGAATGTATAAGTTGGTGCGTGCTGCAGATGTTGTAGAAATTTGGATCGTTTACATTTAAGAAAAATAATCTTTCATTTAAAAAATCAATTCTGGCTTGCTTAAATTATCACAAAGATCTTTCCTTTTCTTTTCTTCAGACAAACAAATGTCCTATCCTCTTTTGTTTCTTGATATTTATTTAATCGACTGACTGGAGCAGGAAAGATTTTTTTTCTATCTCCCACAATCCACACATTAAATTTCTTCACGTCAGGGGTGAATTAATACGAGTAATTATAAATAAAATGATGTTTAGAAACGTGTTAGTTGTGTTTTGTGAGCTGGTGGTAACATTGTACTCTGAAAATGATTCGCGATCTCCGAGAAGTTAGTTCATTTGTTTCATTTTCTATAAAATATGTTTCAATGAATGATGCTCAGAATAAATAAATGAATTTTAACTAATTTGTTACATTTTTTTATCAAGATTTGAAAAATTACTCGTGTGTGATTATGGCATTGAATTTATCAAAGCAAATGCTAATTTTTACAAGAATTTAATTTTCAAATATTTAGTTTTTAAAGTTTAAAAAATATTTGAATGATATTTGTAACCTTTAAAATTATGTCTTTACATTGCTATAATAATGTTGATTTGAAGCATTGAAGGTAATTAATTTTTTAAAAATTCATTTTGGTTTCTAATCATTTGTAATCTTATGGAATTATTAAACCACGGTGTGTTGTGATATGCCCAGATATAAATTTGAGACTTGGGCTGCAAAATGAACAAGCAGGCAGACGCATTGGCGAGATTTTGTTAATGTTCCTAATGGCAGGCTAGCTCTGCAGGAAGTGCTTATTATTGAGAATAAATGGAGGATGATGACCGCTGCTTGATAAACATCCGCCTATCATCCTCTCCTTCGCACGTTCCTCCTTATCTATCACATTGTAAATTATACTGCTACCTGTTCTTTTTTTACTTTCAGCATTTTTCAATAATATCTTTTAAAATATAATTTTATATGGTAACTACAAAACGAGTTGTTTATATGTTTTTATTTTATTAAAAATTTAAATCGTAACCTAAGAAATGTGCACTAATAAGCATTAGAAAGATTACTTTAATTTATTTGAATCATTTAATTATACCAAATTTTAAAAAATTGAAATTCCGAATTGTTGAATGATGAGTCACACGCAAGTTATATTTTCTTGGCGCCGGTCTGCTTAGACGGATGGAATGAGAAGAGTCAAATTTTATTTACGTTCATCGGTGGAGGAGGATAATTTTTTCACAAGGGAACAAATTGTTGATATGATTGAATTTCGTGCTGGATAGATTTTATTCGGCTTGCGTGAGTTTTGTTTCATGCTGCAAGTTTGAGATATCCGCCAGTCGCATTCGCTATATTCAATGCTTAGATATATTTCTAGAAATTATTAAAAGATTTTCATGCTTTTGTGATAATTCGAATCTATTTTGGAAATTTTCTAACAAGCTGCACTGCAATGTACATTCGTATCGCGACTAGTCCTACTGAAAGACAGAATGGATAGCATCCTCCTTCAATTGTTTGAAGCATTCAAACATGTGCGTCTCCAAATAAAGAACCTGGCATGCGTTCAATGTTTTTGAAAACGTACCGACCTCTAGGGACTCTTCATTCGCGTCTCCGTTAATTTTCTCGCCTGCCTCTATTCCAAACTTGTTTGAATATTTCATTGTATTCACGCTTGTTAGGTAGGTTGAAATATTTACATTTAAGAGGCCGAACTTAAAAATTAATTTAATTAATTTCAGCAATGAAAGTTAAAATTAATCAATTGAAATAATTTTTCAAAAGTTTTTAATCCGCCAAGATGGCAATATATAAATGTTAATATTTTTTTCTCTCAATTTATTGTATGTGAAAGACACGCGAATAAGCGTAGCAGGGTAATGATGTTCATGGCGAGCAACATATGTGACAATTGATCCTATTCAATGGCGTACGTCTCTCATGATTTCAAGTGAACACGAAAGCCAATGAATATGTGCCATGTGATGTCATATGTGATGTGATGTGCCATATGATGTGATGGGGTGTGATGGCATATCCGATCTGTAAAGCTAACATTCAACGTAAAAGATTTTTGATAGTGTTTATAGAAATTGTTTTAAGGATTTATTTATTTTATTTTATATTGTTCATTCAATTTTAGTTTTATCTGCTTACATTTATTTATTTGTTTGTTACTAAATTTTATTCTTATTAGAAAATGATGCTTGAATAACTAACAAAATTATATTTTCATCCACTTGCAGATATATATATATATATATATATATATATATATATATATATATATATATATATATATATATTTAAATGTTGGTAATAGACCATAATTTTTACAATATTCTATAAATTCTACCGAAGTTTTGGTGTTAACATGTTTGTAGTTCGTTTTTACGATTTTTCTCACTAAAGTTTTTTGGTGAACGTTTAGTTTATTAAAATTCAAAATAAACTTATTTTTAAATTCATGCAGCAAATATGGCCATATTTTGATTCCGAATGAATCATCATCAGTGCGGTTGATGTTTATGTAGGGAAATATTGACTTTGTCAAAATGAACTTAGATGGAGTTCGTTAGATGGAGTCTGCCAGGACCCAATCTACGAGACCCATCACACCCCAACAGATGTCCGATACTGCCAGTGTTATGTCTTTACCTCCAGGAAATGGTCAGCATGGTATTCAACCGTCGACTCTTGCATATTATAATCAGTCGGGACAGCTGTTAGTGGTGGCAGGGGTTGAAAC